TGTTGATTCTATTGGTGCAGCAAATATGAGCCTGCAAACACGGAATGGTATTGGAGCGATTTTTGAGGTAGAGTGGGAATACAGACAGTTCGCTAATTGACCACTTGCGCAATAGACTAAATTTTGATCTAGACAAAAATTTCATCACAGCTTGAAAGAGCATCACAAAATTAGTAATATTCCAAAGTTTCATTGCGAAATATTGTAAAATGCGGATAATATAGCCTTGCGAAGTTTGCCGTTTTTCAGTCATTTTAGATTACAAACAGGAAATTGACAGCGCAATACCCTTTGGGGCTTTGTAATCTAAAATGACTGAAAATTGCAAACTTCGCAAGGCTATATTATCCGCATTTTACAACATTTCGCAACGAAACTTTGGAATATTACTAATTTTGTGATGCTCTTTCAAGCTGTGAAATTTGTGTCTAGACTTGTTTAGATCAAAATTTAGTCTATTACGCAAATGGTCAATTATCAATGCAAGATTTTGGGTTTACTCATTTATTAAATCTAATCAGGAACAGTTGCGAAAAATGCAACTATAGCCCAGGTAGGAATCGAAACTGCGGCCCTGTGATTCCGGTGCAGTGCTCCAACCAACTGAGCTACAGAGGCCAGTTGTCGAGCTCTAACCACAAGTTCATGTATATAACTAAGGTGCCTAAGGTGGTATATCACTATCGTAATAATTAATACGTTAGAGATATTCTTTCCTAGATTAAACATTCTAACATAATGTGTCTTTCATTAATGTCTTTCTTCTGTTTTCATTCCTTTTCAGATCTATTACTTCATTCAGCCTAAAACAACTGGAATGAGAATCATCAATGATACTCTAGAACAAGTTCGTGATTTCCAGCGTGATGACCTCAACACAGTCCGTATGGAAAGCGACTCATCAAAACTGACAAAAAACTTGGATGACCAAAACTTGGATGATCGTGTTAAGGTGGTTCCACTGTATGTTCCTGATGATGCCTTGGTTAAGGTATTCATGATGCACAGTAGTCATAAATCTGCGTTGGCAAATGCTCCTTTTGCTGCTGGCTTTCGACGTCAGGTAGTGAAACCTCCACCTAGCTTACATAAAACCTAGCTTACATAAAACCTAGCTTACTTAAAACGACCGACTATAGTTTACACTATCAAAGTTTCTGTGATCACAGTAGGAATTTTGCATAGGTAAATTGAAGAATTTGTAAGAAATGTTTGAAGGAACTGATTCGGTGTTAAACACTTATTTACCAAAACAAAATTCCTACTGTGATTCATGCATATATAATATGATAGCGTAAGCCAGTCTTTGGAAATGGAATTTGAAGTGGAGTTCAAAAAAGTTCAAGGCGTTGGTGGATCGGAATCAGAATCAGAATCAATTTATTTGCACTTATTTCTAGCTTACAAAGATATTCATTATTAATATACCATATACATATATTTACATTAAATTATAAAACAAAATATTTATGTCACAAGCGAAGAGTGCGTATTGGCCAAAGGAGCAAACGCTTCGAGTTGGCCACTACCATTATGAAGTTAATAGGAAAAGTGAACGGCACAACTGATGTAGAAATAAGTTATATTAAAGTGCCTATGCGACAATTTTTTTTATGATTGAATAGCAAAGTTCATTTAAAATCATAATATAACTTGTTTTCTAAAACTTTGTATTCTTTCCTGTATGTCAAGATTTTCCACTTTGTTTGATATACAAATGTGACTTAAATGACGTCACACTTCATAATGAGTTTTTAGAAAGAAAACCTTTCCTTGCCAAACATGTGATAATTCCATTGACATTGAAAGTGATATTCTTTAAGAGCTATCAAAGCGATCATTTCGTCTGTAAAATTGAGATAATGAGAATTTTAACAAGCTACAACACAGTCTTTTGTAAAACGCATTATGCAGTGTGACGTCATTTAAGTCACATTTGTATATCAAACAAAGTCGAAAACCTTGACATACAGGAAAGATTAAAAAGTTTTAGAAAACAAGTTATACTATGATTTTAAATGAACTTTGCAATTCAATCATAAACAAAATTGTCGCATAGGCACTTTAAGGAATTTCTAACTGTATTTTATAAAATGTATAGTAGTTTAATTGTATGTTAATATACAAATGATTATTATACGTTCTTGTGTTTCTTTGTTACCGCAAATTCAACAGTTTCTTTCAGTTTCTCAATATGTACGTTTTTCCTATCCAGGAAACGGTCGCTCTGTTCAGCATTGGAAGCGAAGATCTGATGATTGAGAATGATAATTATGCCTCAGTAAGAACTCTGGCTAAGCAGTATATCAAGTTAATAAAATCCGCACAGCGAACCGGACCGTATTATTTGGGTATGTTTAAAGTCGTTTTGAGCATTAATTAGTTAATCTCATTGGAACTTTTGGAATATTTTTACCATTTTGCTGATGAATTTTTCTGATGAACTGTGTAGTCATATTTCGTAAGCTTTGCTGCTAATTCAGATTGGTATTTTGCTATTTATTCTAAATTCTGTCTTCTTCATTTCAGCTGGATTTTCATTCGGGGGTATATTGAGCTACGAAGTCGCTTGTCAGTTGAGACAAGATGGCGAAGACATTGCCATGGTAACAATGTTAGACACTATGTCTTGGTTACCGAAGTCATTTCAAGAGAATGAAGCGCAGTTTGAGAAATTTCAACATTTTCTTCTTGCTGATTTAAAAGAAAAAATGGTAGGTGGCAGAAACAGAGAAGAAGAGCCGATCATTAAAATTCGCCCATATTATAGACGCAGATTCGATTAATCAGTGACTGAGTGAGGATATGTGGAGGGGGGTGAATAGGGGTATACAAATCCGCCGATCCGCCCAAATTTGAAGCAAAATCCGCCGTGCGACAATGGTCTTGTCTAAATTTGGATCCGCTAAAAGCTCTACTATGAAGTCACAATCCAGGATCCGAACTAAATTGCAAGCAAAATCCACAATCGGAGCCAAAATATTAGATAATCCGCTGTATTAATAAGATCCGCAAATCCCCCCTCCCAACCCCCCCCCCCCATATATAATTAGCGAATTAATCAAATCAGGTTGAAGAATTTCGCTCATAATCATTTAGATCCCTGTTTGTATAAAGGCAACTTTTCAGAGAAAAACAACTCAGACTACTCAGTTTAGTTCTCTAACCGCTTAAATATGCGGATTATGCGCACCGACAATCTCACGAAGTCGCTACTCGGGGTTTGAAATCTAAGCCTCTATTTTGCAATTATCATTATTGCTGTTCTAAACTTTATCGTTCTCCCTAGAGATCCATTGGGCTACGATTACACTGCACCGAATAGCTTTCCGTAGCGACGCGATAAAGCACCTATCCTTCAGAAGCTGAGCGAAACAAAATCTCTCCTTTGTAATAATTCCTCTGAAAATAGCGTTCCTAAAAGGTACATGTAGGTGTTTTTAAGTTCACGTCGTTACGGAAAGCTATCTGGTCGCGTAAAGACCTACCTAAAATGATCATGTTTTGTGATTGGCTTTCGGAAACAAACATGATCATTGTTCGTGACTCGTTCTTTAGAAAGACGATTTCTATAGTTTTATTGTCTTTCATTGTCGTAGTCAACCAACCACGAGCCTGGATAGTATAGGTAGATGATGACCCGTCCCGTACAGTGTAAATGTATTCTCAGGTGAAATTACAAACAGACAACAGCATGATGCTTGTGATGTTACTCTGAGTGTATATCCACACCGGGCAAGCTTGAAAAATATGCCTGGCCACGGTGGGAATCGAACCTACGACCTTTGGAATACTAGCCCAATGCTCTGCCAACTGAGCTATGCGGTCAGGTCAGACAACAGTATATTGCAGGAATGGAACTCCGGTCGGAGATAAAAGGCACATAGACACACACATTAACTTCTATGTCACCATACAAGTGTTTAAATCTAAAACTCCTTAATTCTTCTTTTGCAAAGGTGGCACGTTTTCTACGGTCGACAGCTCTTGGTCGCCTCGGTTTCACTCTGGTGGAATTTGAGCGCCTGATGAATGACTTGGGATCTGGGGAGAGGTTGTGTACGGCCTTGGAAGAAAGAGCCAAGACGATGAACGTCAGTTTGGGTGACGTCAGAGGTCACGTGACATCTCTTAAAGATCAGTCAGAAAGAGCATGTCATGCGCACTTGGAGTGGCAGCCTCCTGAGGTATACACACGCGCTAAAACGTCTCACAACTCGTAGCTTGTCAGCAAGATATGGACAAGGCTATTATAAGCCAATTCATAGTCAGGCTCGTGCAATTTTAATAAGTCTGAAAAACTCACTCGTACATGTTTTTTTTCCAAATTGCATTCCAGACAACTCGAGACCAAACAATTTGCACATTTTGAAATGTAATCTAAAACTCCACACTAAACTTTTTTTCCAGGTCAAATATGAGCAAACCATCTCATATATCCGATGTCAAAATGTTGACCAGACCAAACAATCTTTTGTCTCCTGGGATCTAGTGGAATTATGGGAATCATTAACAAACAACATTGACGTCATCACTCTTCCAAGCAGCCATTTCGAGCTGTTGGATCAACCTTATGCTGAAATTTGCGGGCTCGTAATCATGACGACCGCTGTCATGAAACACCGGAATCTCACGGAATGGCAGCCTAGTCCAAGATCCAATCAAGAGGAGCGACTCATTAATTTTCTCAAGAGCGCGGTAGAAGTTTTAATTTCCTATGATGATGGTACGATTAACATAACTTTACAATACAATACAATACAATACAATACAATACAATACAATACAGTACAGCACAGCACAGCACAGCACAGCACAGCACAGCACAGCACAGCACAGCACAGCACAGCACAGCACAGCACAGCACAGCACAGCACAGCACAGCACAGCACAGCACAGCACAGCACAGCACAGCACAGTACAGTACAGTACAATACAATACAATACAATACAAAACTCATGCTGAAAGGATATATATATATAAAAATTGTTGTACCTCTGCCTGAGGGCCTAACGTTGCATTTTTCTCAGCTGTTTCTGGTTAGATTGAAACTGTATAAAATGCCATCTGCAAAAATCCTATCTATATCTATATGTCGAAAACCGTGATATTTACCAAAGTTTGCCTACTAAAACAAACAGTCTACTAAGGAGACTTTTTCATTTCCGACGCGCTGAAACCCTTCTTGATTATTTTGCAGATTTTTTTAACGCAAAATTGTGGTTAAGCGAGGAAGAAAAGCAATTTTCTATGGAACATGAGAACGAAAAGCAACACAAGAAAATTGAAATTCAATTAAATGGTAAGATTTTCGGCTGTCGTCTTACAGTTGTGCCCGCCATGTTTCAACTCCTTATCGAACCAAACGTTTTTGCATTTACTTTAGATATTCGCAACATTATACCAGGAAAATACGCCATGTTTCATTCCAAAACCGAGATGAAACAGCTGGATCAAAATCTAATCATTTCGCTGATGATCCATTGTAACCAGAAGCTTCACATTATTTGCCAGGACGAGCGACAACGAGACTATATCATGGATGCATTTGAAGTTTTATTTGGGATCCCTCTTATAAGATTTCATTATTAATGATTATTAAGAATATGATTATTGTCTTAAATATTGATTAGCAAGATATCTTAAATAATAAAGTATATTTTTTATGCAATCTGCCATCTGGAAGAAAACTTTATATAAACAAAACTTGACTAACTTTGCTTATACAGTTACACTTATAGCTCTATCAATTCTAAGGCCTGTTTTATACGTCGAATTTTAGTCGCGTCGAATGCAATTAAGACAATAGATAATGAGATGATAAACCTCATTAAGCTTCATCATCTATTGTTTGAATTGCATTCAACGCGACCGAAATTCAATGTATAAAACGGGCCTAAACTGTTAGCGTTCTCCCGAGGGTCCAGTAAGAGTAATTTCTTATCGAAGTCATTGAACTAGTGTGTTGCTACAGGCGGAAACCTAAATTCAACTAACTGTATTTATACTGGAAAGCTCTATCAGATCCAAACTGTTTATCTTATTGGAAAATTTCGGATTGATAGGGATACAACTACCTGAAAAATACAAGGAGAACTTCGACGTTTCGAGCCTTCTTATTATTGGCCTATTGGTTTATCTTATTCGAGATCTTATTGGTCTATTGTTAGTCGTTACTTATAAGGAGAAAACTTAACTGAAAAGATTGTCTCTCCAAAATACTAACCTCTCTCGAAATATGTTGTTTTTTTCTCTTCGAGAGGTGACTCGCTTACCAAGAATTCAAGGCCTTTAGGAAATGAATTGTTCAACTTGAAATGACGCAACCTAGAGCTTGGGCCACCTATGCCAAAGAATTTTCGAAAGTGGGAAAATTGAAAATCAAACTTCGAGTAAAAACTAAAAGTAAAAACTCTAAAAATATTTCTGTTTTTACTGCTCTATGAGCTTTTGTTTTGACCGAAATTTGTTCAGTACATGAAGAAGGACTTATCTTATGAAGAATTAACGTAAGTTTGAATTTATATTTGCAATAAATTATTAGTTTAAGTTACTCCAAACCTGACAGCCTGACAATTAAATTATAAAGCTTGCGTTGTTTAATTAATTAAATCTTGTTTAAATTTTGAGAATGCTATCTGCATGTATAAAAGTTCGAAAAGCAGTAAGTCGTAGCCAGGGAAGATTTAAGTAATTTTATTTAGGAAATGAGGTAGGCCAGGATAGAATTTAACCTTATAATTTTTGGTGCAGAAAAAGCATAATTTTACAATTTATACAAATGCTCATATTTTGATTCGGTGTTTATATGGGAATTTTTTGTCCCGCCTAAGCAGGACCCCAGCGACATGGGCAGTATCACAGAGTTTAGATCCATCATCAAAATGCTGTTGCCATGATCCTAGCCAGTGTGGTTATGAGAAGGTTCACCCCCCTGAACATCCACCATTTTGAATATTTTCAGGGGGTGAATGTCTCCTATAAAGCACACTCCACGAATGTGGCGATAGCATTGCAACAGTTATTCCAAAATCATCAGCAAAACCAAGTCGGCCTTCTGTAAGGTTACCATTCTGTGGTGGGATCCCTTCTAGGTGGTATGGAGTGGTATCATATAAACACTTTATATTATGGAAGCAATCTTGGTAACTGTCCAGTCCACTTAGGGTCATATAGACAGGTACTACACATTCTCTTTTCAAACTCTGGGACCAGCATGGTAAAGAATGCAGGAAAAAAACACATTTCTAACATTTTAAAACTGTATTTTATTTACTTATTACTTGTTCTGAAAGTCTTACAAGCTAAATACATGACATTTTATCATTCTTAATTAATAAGGTCTATAATTATATACATATAAATGAACTTGAAAAGTCAAAATGCCAAATATGCATTTAGCTCACTGGCAGCAAAATCTTCTCTAACAATACAGTGATGCACATTTCACAAAAGTCAAAATATTCAGGGTGACTAAGGTTAAATTTCTAAAATATTCTAGCTCTATTGTTCATGCTAGTTTCATTTCTGAAACATTCTTGCTTTATAAATTAAGTGCTGATATGCTCAATTGAAACAATATGATCAATCTCATGGTTGAAATGACATAATAATATTTTGGTACATATAATACTAAATATTCTTGTTTTAAAATCAAAAAATGGGGTAGGGTAGTCCCCCCCCGACGTAATGTTGGCCTCTGTAAAAATCCTAAAATCCTTCGCTGTACCCGCCCTTTCTCGGATCAGATTTTGCATAGATATTTCCATCCTGTTCCTTGGAGATTGCTTGCACAACAGAAAAGAAACTTTTTGTTTCTACATAATGTCCATAGCCTCTGAGTGCTTCAACGATATTTGTTGCCAGGTTAAAGGGTTCCTCTTCTATTGCTGTGTAATTGGGAAGCAGTTGGTTATGAAATCGAGGCATGGTGACGGCTTCACTTGTGTTTCGACCAAACCATATTTTGTGCATTGTTGCCTAAACATTTGATTGGACATATATTTAATGCTCAACACTTCCTCTTGACATGCTAAGTGGTGTGTTACATTACAGTATAGTGTTGTATGGTATGGTGTGGTGTGGTGCAACATGGTATGGTATTTTGTGGTATAAGTATGGTATGGTATAGTATGGTGTGTGGTATGGTGGTATAAGTGTGGTATGGTGGTATAATATGGTATAGTATGGTACAGTGTAACATGGTATGGTGTATAATATGGTGTGGTATAGTATGGTATGATGTGGTATGGCATTGTGTGGTATGGTATGGTATGGTATGGTATGGTGGTTTAAGTATGGTGTGGTAATGGTACAGTGTAGCATGGTATGGTGTATAGTATGGTGTGGTATAGTATAGTATGGTATAGTGGTACAAGTATGGTTTGGTATGTGCATGGTATAGTGTGGTATAAATATAGTATGGTACAGTACGGCATGGTTTGGTATGGTGTGTGGTATAGTTTGATGTAGTATGGTATAGTGTATGGCATAATGGTACACATTTTACAACCTAACAATCTTACCAATGCAGTCCCCGTAGTAATTCTGGTACCCCCAGATGCCCCAGCAATGAACACAACATCCCCACTGGAATTCGTCATAATGATAGGACTCATTGAAGACATAGGACGTTTGCCAGGTTCGATGAAATTACTTGGCGAGGGTTCAACTCCGAATGCGTTGGTGAGACCAGGAGTTGAGAAGTCGTCCATTTCGTTATTGTACGTTATTCCCGTCACCGTAGAACGCACTTTAGAACCAAAGCTGAAAGAAATATAAGATGCTGTCAAACCCTCAAGCCTGAGAATAAATTTCCAACGGTGCCTAACAAAGTATCCGGTACCAACTGATTGCATGGTGCCTGACACTGGACATTTTGTGCCTGACAAGGAAATATTAACGGAATAGAGCAAATATAACTTTTCGTGGCCCTTGAAATAAAAGAAGCCAATGCAAAGCTTAGTAAGAACAATTAAGCCACTAGTCAATTATATCTTACGGGATCGAACAATCGTAAATTTCACATGGTGCATTTTCCCTTGGGTAATACAAATTAATACAAAATTTACAACATTTCGCAACCAAAATTTGCAATAATTTTACCAATTTTAACATGCTCTATCTAGCTGTGCTGATGGATTTTGCTCTTCTTGCCCAGATCAAAATTTAGTATCTAGCTGGAATCATTCATTTGAACATGCAGTTAATCAGAATTTTTTAACTTACTGAGTGTTAATAGTGCTGGTGACCGATACTGCGTCTCCGTTCGGTGCTAACACTGAGAGATGCGAGGTGCCAGGGGCGTCATAATTTGCATAATATCCTCCATAGTGACTGGCGTTGTGATACGTTTGGTTAGTAATGTTCAAACGTATGCTCTCTGCATAGGCTTCATTTAGGAGTTCATCGAATACCTGAAATAGATGTAGAAAAAGAGGTTCAGGAATGGATCCAGTCAGATCTGCAGGGTGGAGGGGTGCTTATTGACCTTTGTCTAACTCGGTAATCACTAGAGGGCTCTAAGGCGACCCCCCCCCCCCTCACTCCGCCCAGGCTAGGGGCGGTGCGCACCCTTGCCCCAAAGTAAATCCATCCATGAGTAAGCTAGAATGTTTTTCCTCATTACGCAAAATAACCGGCCAAGCCCAATTTCCAAATGCAGTCGAACAATGCAACAGCCATGGCCGTTTAAGAAACCTCAACCTGCACTCACCTTCGATGCATTAGTGGCAAACTTCTTGTCTCCTAGCAACGCGCGTCTGGCGTAAGCATATCGGAAAGTTTCAATAATCTTATGGTAGGCACTCGCTGTTGCGCTGTCGTTGGCTACATCTTGCGAAGTAAAGTTATAACCTAGTAAATGAGACAATATGTTGAACATGCTGTGCATTCTCTGTTGAAGTGTTTTGTTGGTGAAAATATCGAGTGTAATTAATTAGCCTTTCCAGTGGTGCCAAGTAACGAAGTAAATGTACTTCGTTACTGTACTTGAGTACTATTTTTGAGAAGTCAGCATGTAACAAAGTGAACTTTTTTTGGAGTACTTTTACTTGGAACGAAGTTGTTTTAAGAAGTAACGTTTTTACTTCGTTATTTTAATTTTGTGGCGAAGTATTTCGTTACTCTCTAACTTTACGTGATTTATTTCAATTTTGGGATAGCTAATAGGACCTCTACATGCGTCTGGGATCTCTCGTTTGTGGCTTACGTATAAGCATTATTTATTTAAGGGATTTCTTATATCTTCAACGTGGTCTGGAAGGTAGACCATGCCGTGAAATATTGTATATTAGGTGCACGCATATAATGCGTGTACTGTTTTTTATCTTTTGTATGTCAATCCATTGGAGAAGTCCCCCCCCCCAACACACGCCAGAGACCATAGTACTTTTACTTTTTACTTCAAGTATTTTTTTAAGGATACTTTGTACTTTTTACTTAAGTACGTTTTGCCTCCAGTACTTTTTACTCTTACTCAAGTCGTTTTATTGTTAATTACTTCTACTTTTACTCGAGTACAAATTCAAAGTAATTTAGGCATCACTGAGCCTTTCTCAGGAAGGTCTAAATCTGCCATTTTTGAGTACTATTTTATAAACAACATGAAAAATCTAAGCGATGTGAAAATAATTTTTCAAATATTTAACTGTAAATTAACTTATAATGATTATACCTTGTGGCTATAGTTATATACTTAGAAAGTTTCATTTTCATTGCTTACCATCCCTGTTCTAAAAAGGTTGCCACCCAAACGTGGCAGCGTGAGAAAGGCTAATTTTTACACTTAGGGAGCGGTCATTAATTATGGCGGGGGGTGGCACCGAAGAGAAAAGGGTTGGGTAAACAAAATTTTAGGTAAGTAAAAGGTTGGGTAAATGAAAAACAAAACAACTCAAGGGTTGGCTAATAAACAAAACAACTCAAGTGTACGTTGGGTAATAAAAAATTATTGTCATTTCCAAAGCATGACTCACTGAAATATTGGAGACTAAAAAGCAATGGAAACAAATTGTGTCTCCAAAGAAACTACAAGTTCAGACAATATGAAACTTTAGATTGCAGAAAATTTCACAAGCCATTATCAAACTCATGTCACAGAAGTGGCAATTAAAAGGACATGTGTGACAACTGAATGGTATCCTTTTGTAAAGGTTTTGGCCAGGGGTGGGTATTCATTTTTTAATTGATATTTGAGGTTGGGTAATCAAATTTTTGACTTTAATGGTTGGGTCAGCAAAATTTTTCCCACAAAAAATTTCTGTTCGGTGCCAACCCCCATAAATAATGACCGGTCCCTAATTAGACATAACCATTGAACTATAAATAAACTGGAAGGCTAACTGCTATGATGAAGGCCTATGATTCGATGAAGCCAAAATAGTTTTTCTGAGTTATGAGCAGAAATACTTGACCCCAAACGTCGTGCTATATATCAAATTGAAGCTATTGAAAATTGCTATTTGGTGTGGAAATTTCACGACTTCAGCGAAAAGAAAAATATTTTAAAAATACAAAAACAACTGCAAAACGGCAAATTATCGGTAATTATGTTTGTAATTTTTCAATATTTCCCTTTTAGCTAAAGTCTTGAAATTTCTACACCAAATAGCGTTTTTCAATAGCTTCAATTTGATATATAGCCCAACGTTCAGTGTTGAGTATTTCTGCTCATAACTCAGAAAAACTAAAATGCACTGGCTTCAATTTCCCCCCCTGAGTTAGCCTTCCAGTTTATTTATAGTTCAATGGACATAACTATAGGAGCAGTGGCAAAAAATACAACTATAGACCCATTGCACATGACGTCACAGCGCCGGTGACGATGCATCTGGACAGGGCGTAGTAAAACACGGGCGGTGAAACGCGCTAATATTTGCCTGATCCATGTGTGATGCACGGGAGACTGGCGCGAGCGTGCGAAATGCGCGGATGAAGCGGGATTTTTAAAGATGAAGCGAAGCAAAAACAAGAGACAAAAATATTTAAAGGGCAATCAAAAAGTGCAAATTTTTAAGGTAAATTTATCCTTAAAATGGAAAAAAATTAACTTGTTATAAAATAGAGACTCTGGCAATTAATTAGTATTGCAAATTACATCGCTGGAGTTGGAAAAGCATTTTTAAAATGTGAAATTATTTGAAGGCATAGCGATTTTATCATAAAATATATTTACATTTTTCAGGCAATGACAAATTGTAGTCGAGGTTTTTAGCCAGACCGAGTGGAAAAAAAGTTAACTTCAACCCTTTAAATTATCTATAATTAGTTATACTTTCGATCTGAAAAGGTTAGAAAATGGGCTTTTGTGGGCTTTTTTTCAATTTAAAGATTTATGACCAGGTCACTTGCGTAATTTACAATGACACAACTTGTGACCTTGTTTTGATAAAGTTAGAAAACAATTGTCAATTTAGAAAGCATTGGAAACATTTTCATTAACATATTCAGGCATTCAAATGCAATATGAAAGTTAGGGAAAATATTCAATTATAAGTAACAAGCAGAAAATTCCGTTTTTACCATGTTAAAGGTTGTTTTATTTCTCTTTTCGAACTTACAATATGCAACTGAAATGTCCGCCAAAAGACTCCAAATTGCATGTTCACAGCGATGTCGCAGTTTTACAAGCGCGGAAACTTCTTAACTTTTAAATATTTCATGCACAATATATGAAAACTAGCTTTATTTTGATGTTTTCGGATAATTTAAGTACGTAATTTTCTGAAAATCATCAAATGATAATGGGCTTTTTAATTTTTAAACATTTTTTTGCCCTTATTTTTGACATGT